AGAAAGAGAGAGAGAGAGAGAGAGAGAGAGAGAGAGTCCATACAGTCTATGGAGTCTGATTTGTGTCCCCAAATGTACTTCAGCGTGGGTTTATCTACTGTGTCCAGCAAGAGCTCCATCCCTCTAAGACATTGTTTATCCCCCTCCCAACAGCCATCAATTACCAAAAGTTCCTTAGGCTGGGTTGAGATTTACTACCCAGGTCCCCAAGCCTATGCTGGATTTTGTCCGGTTCGAGCTTACATAGATCTTGTGAATGCTGTCACCATTGCTAGGAGTTCATATGCAACTCAACCTTTCAATATACAATCTATACAGAAGAAAGCTCTATCAGTGCTCAATTTTTACTCTTTTAAATCCCTTAGGAACAGAGAAACTGCCTTATACTGTAATTAGAAACACTAATAAAATTACGTAGATTTCATTTTAAATTCCAGTAATATTCCATGTTCTCTGATGATAACGTTACTTATGAGGAAACTTATAATCAGAAGTTTTTAAAACATTTTATTGTTTTTATTTATTAGTATACGTGTATTGCCTACATGTAGGTAAGTACACCCATGTCCTGCAATGCCTGCAGAGGACAGAAGAGGCTGTCGGATCCCCTGGAACTGGAGTTACAGACAGTTGTTAGCTGCTATGTGGGTGCTGGGATTCAAACCTGGGTCTTCTGTAAGAACAGTCAGTGTTCTTAACCGCTGTGCTATCTTTCCAGCCCTCTATAATCAGAACATTTATTTCTAGCTATTTTGAAATAATTTAATTCCCAAGTATCAGATAAATACAGAATAGTCAAATTGTCCATCACGGGGGCACATAATAATTCTAATTCTGTTCAATCCTTTTATTTTTTTGTCACCTCCCACCAAATACAGGCTATTATTCATCTAAACATGATTCCTTAAATAATTGAATGAAATACCTTCCAAGATTTAAAGTAGTATGTATAAATTGTTCAGTAATTGAAACCAGTATCATAACTGTCATTACGTCATACAAGACAGTACAGATAGAGTTCAATTTGAAGGTCCTTCCACTTCACTTTCAATAACATTTTAGGGTCTCTTTACTGTGTTTGGAGTTTTTTTTAGAAGTGAAGAACATGATCAAGGTAGTCATTCTTGCCAGAATCTTATTTGTGTTTTAATTTTTGCTTCGCTTCAATATTTCCCTATAAACTGTGAATAACTGCATGCATAAACAACATATTGTTGACCTAGAAAACATTCTTGTAAATTTTTTCTGCCTTGAAATTTGTTATCTTAGTACATATCATTTCCTTCTTAATCCATCTGTCCTCTGACAGATCCACATCATAATCTCTATGTTAACATTCTAAATTTGTCACCTTCCTGCTGTCAAATCACAGTCTTCTGTGAAATTGCAAGCAGATACCTGTATTTAAATTTAATGACAATGAGCCAGGCATGGTGGCATATGCCTTTAAACCTTATGCTTCAGAGGCAGAGGCAGACAGATCTCTGGATGTTCAAGGCTAGCCTGGTTTACATAGTGAGTTCCAAGGCCAGCCCAGGTTAAATAGTTAGACGCTGCCTAAAAGAAAGACTAAATACCCTATTTTTTTATACTGACAATATGCTTTCTACACACAGAGGCAAAAATAGTTATCAGATAGGATGTTGGGAAGGGAAATTTCATTCACCCCATCTGGTATCCTGTTTCACTTTGTGAGTTCATTATTTCACTTTTTCCTGTGGTTTTCTGTCTTTCCACATTGGTATTTCAATACTTCCCCACTTTTCAGGTTATTTCTTTCTTTGCACTCTACATTGCCTAGAAGCTGTTTGTGGAAAATACCTTGTATCACTATAACACAATTAACACCTGTCACTTATTCATAGTTCACGGAATGGGAGTGATATTTTCATAGTAACAAGTGAAATGATTTAAATTATTTCACTTTTTCCTGTGGTTTTCTGTCTTTCCACATTGGTATTTCAATAGTTCCCCACTTTTCAGGTTATTTCTTTGTGTATCACTGTAACACAATTAACACCTGTCACTTATTCAAAGTTCACAGAATGGGAGTGATATTTTCATAGCAACAAGTGAAATGATTTAAAAGGCCAAGGTAAGAAAACACAATGTACACTTGCACCATTAAAGCTATTTCAATTAATAACCAGACTCACAAATTTACTGGATACTTTTAAAGTAAAAAACAATCTAAAAGAACAATTTGTGTTTAATTTTGTAATATTCATTTTTCCTTTCTTAAGCATGTTCCAAAATTACATACTCACCAAATTGATTTCCTGTAGATCCAGGTCAGCAGACATGCTGAAGCTAGTACCAAAGGTGGATCATAAATAGAATTAATAACCAGACTCACAAATTTACTGGATACTTTTAAAGTAAAAAACAATCTAAAAGAACAATTTGTGTTTAATTTTGTAATATTCATTTTTCCTTTCTTAAGCATGTTCCAAAATTACATACTCACCAAATTGATTTCCTGTAGATCCAGGTCAGCAGACATGCTGAAGCTAGTACCAAAGGTGGATCATAAATAGTTAGAAAGCCACAATTAATACAGAGATTGATGTATAAACCCCAGTGATTATGCATCCCCTGGGAACCGGTGACTAGATTCCCCTGCACTTCACATAAATTTTGTGTTGAAAACAAACTTGAAAGATTTTTTTCTTAAGCTCTATTAGAAAATATAGAAAATTTATAACAAAGTGAAAAGTACCATAAACAATAGTCGCATTATCTCATCCAGCACGTCCAAGTCAATGTCTACTCACTCATCTCATATATATCAATATGTTTT